CTTTAGTACACTACACTTTAGTACACTACACTTTAGTACACTACACTTTAGTACACAACACTTTAGTACACTACACTTTAGTACACAACACTTTAGTACACTACACTTTAGTACACAACACTTTAGTACACAACACTTTAGTACACTACACTTTAGTACACAACACTTTAGTACACTACACTTTAGTACACTACACTTTAGTACACAACACTTTAGTACACTACACTTTAGTACACAACACTTTAGTACACTACACTTTAGTACACAACACTTTAGTACACTACACTTTAGTACACTACACTTTAGTACACTACACTTTAGTACACTACACTTGAGTACACTACACTTTAGTACACTACACTTTAGTACACTACACTTGAGTACACTACACTTGAGTACACTACACTTTAGTACACTACACTTTAGTACACTACACTTTAGTACACTACACTTTAGTACACTACACTTTAGTACACTACACTTTAGTACACTACACTTGAGTACACTACACTTTAGTACACTACACTTTAGTACACTACACTTTAGTACACTACACCTTAGTACACTACACTTTAGTACACTACACCTTAGTACACTACACTTTAGTACACTACACTTTAGTACACAACACTTTAGTACACTACACTTTAGTACACAACACTTTAGTACACTACACTTTAGTACACTACACTTTAGTACACTACACTTTAGTACACTACACTTTAGTACACAACACTTTAGTACACAACACTTTAGTACACAACACTTTAGTACACTACACTTTAGTACACAACACTTTAGTACACTACACTTTAGTACACTACACTTTAGTACACTACACTTTAGTACACAACACTTTAGTACACAACACTTTAGTACACAACACTTTAGTACACTACACTTTAGTACACTACCCTTTAGTACACAACACTTTAGTACACAACACTTTAGTACACAACACTTTAGTACACTACACTTTAGTACACTACACTTTAGTACACTACACTTTAGTACACAACACTTTAGTACACAACACTTTAGTACACTACACTTTAGTACACTACACTTTAGTACACAAAACTTTAGTACACTACACTTTAGTACACAACACTTTAGTACACTACACTTGAGTACACTACACTTTAGTACACTACACTTTAGTACACTACACTTTAGTACACTACACTTTAGTACACTACACTTTAGTACACTACACTTTAGTACACTACTCTTTAGTACACAACACTTTAGTACACTACACTTGAGTACACTACACTTTAGTACACTACACTTTAGTACACTACACTTTAGTACACTACACCTTAGTACACAACACTTTAGTACACTACACCTTAGTACACTACACTTTAGTACACTACACTTTAGTACACTACACTTTAGTACACTACACTTTAGTACACTACACTTTAGTACACTACACTTGAGTACACTACACTTGAGTACACTACACTTGAGTACACTACACTTGAGTACACTACACTTTAGTACACTACACTTTAGTACACTACACTTTAGTACACTACACTTGAGTACACTACACTTTAGTACACTACACTTGAGTACACTACACTTTAGTACACTACACTTTAGTACACTACACTTGAGTACACTACACTTCAGTACACTACACTTTAGTACACAACACTTGAGTACACTACACTTTAGTACACTACACTTTAGTACACTACACTTTAGTACACTACACTTGAGTACACTACACTTTAGTACACTACACTTTAGTACACTACACTTTAGTACACTACACTTGAGTACACTACACTTGAGTACACTACACTTTAGTACACTACACTTTAGTACACTACACTTGAGTACACTACACTTTAGTACACTACACTTTAGTACACTACACTTTAGTACACTACACTTGAGTACACTACACTTTAGTACACTACACTTTAGTACACTACACCTGAGTACACTACACTTTAGTACACTACACTTTAGTACACTACACTTGAGTACACTACACTTGAGTACACTACACTTTAGTACACTACACTTGAGTACACTACACTTGAGTACACTACACTTGAGTACACTAACTTGAGTACACTACACTTTAGTACACTACACTTTAGTACACTACACTTGAGTACACTACACTTGAGTACACTACACTTGAGTACACTACACTTTAGTACACTACACTTTAGTACACTACAATTGAGTACACTACACTTTAGTACACAACACTTTAGTACACTACACCTTAGTACACTACACTTTAGTACACAACACTTTAGTACACTACACTTTAGTACACTACACTTTAGTACACTACACTTTAGTACACTACACTTTAGTACACAACACTTTAGTACACTACACTTTAGTACACTACACTTTAGTACACTACACTAACAATGTTTACATACCATGCTAGGTGTGAGAAGGAAAGGTCGACTTAGGAACACTTAAATCGGGAGGATATTCACCACAGAACCATAATGAACTTTATCGGTAGACAACAGATCAAGTTGTTTGGCCGCCTAATTGGGTTGGCATCAGACAGGGCACCACAGAGAGCAATCTGATACAAATACAGCGGAAACAGAGACAGAGGTAGACCACGCAGAAGATGAACCGTAGAAATTTCAAAGACACTGACAAGTATTGTACACGAAGCTGTGAGGCTGTGAGGCTGTGACGCTGTGAGGCTGTGACGCTGTGAGGCTGTGACGCTGTGACGTTGTGAGGCTGTGACGCTGTGAGGCTTTGAGGCTGTGACGCTGTGAGGCTCTGAGGCTGTGACGCTGTGAGGCTGTGACGCTGTGGGGCTGTGAGGCTGTGAGGCTGTGACGCTGTGAGGCATTCCAGGAGTAGAGACATGTAGAAGATTCACGGTGTGAGATGCAAAACCCTTTACAGAAGACAGACAACCAGAACAGTGGTGCATCGACGGTTAGAGCAAACCCGTCACAGAAGACAGACAACCAGAACAGTGGTGCATCGACGGTTAGAGCAAACACTTTACAGAAGACAGACAACCAGAACAGTGGTGCATCGACGGTTAGAGCAAACACTTTACAGAAGACAGACAACCAGAACAGTGGTGCATCGACGGTTAGAGCAAACACTTTACAGAAGACAGACAACCAGAACAGTGGTGCATCGACGGTTAGAGCCAACTCTTTACAGAAGACAGACAACCAGAACAGTGGTGCATCGACGGTTAGAGCAAACCCTTCACAGAAGACAGACAACCAGAACAGTGGTGCATCGACGGTTAGAGCAAACCCTTCACAGAAGACAGACAACCAGAACAGTGGTGCATCGACGGTTAGAGCAAACACTTCACAGAAGACAGACAACCAGAACAGTGGTGCATCGACGGTTAGAGCAAACACTTCACAGAAGACAGACAACCAGAACAGTGGTGCATCGACGGTTAGAGCCAACTCTTTACAGAAGACAGACAACCAGAACAGTGGTGCATCGACGGTTAGAGCAGACCCTTCACAGAAGACAGACAACCAGAACAGTGGTGCATCGACGGTTAGAGCCAACTCTTTACAGAAGACAGACAACCAGAACAGTGGTGCATCGACGGTTAGAGCAAACACTTTACAGAAAACAGACAACCAGAACAGTGGTGCATCGACGGTTAGAGCAGACCCTTCACAGAAGACAGACAACCAGAACAGTGGTGCATCGACGGTTAGAGCAAACACTTTACAGAAAACAGACAACCAGAACAGTGGTGCATCGACGGTTAGAGCAAACCCTTCACAGAAGACAGACAACCAGAACAGTGGTGCATCGACGGTTAGAGCCAACTCTTTACAGAAGACAGACAACCAGAACAGTGGTGCATCGACGGTTAGAGCAAACCCTTTACAGAAGACAGACAACCAGAACAGTGGTGCATCGACGGTTAGAGCAAACCCTTTACAGAAGACAGACAACCAGAACAGTGGTGCATCGACGGTTAGAGCAAACCCTTTACAGAAGACAGACAACCAGAACAGTGGTGCATCGACGGTTAGAGCCAACCCTTCACAGAAGACAGACAACCAGAAGAGCAGTGCATCGACGGTCAGAGTTCACTTTTCGAAAGGAGAACTGTGTCATCTGCATAGCGAAGTTCCGCAGTAAGGTTGCCACCAATTATGAACGGACGATGACTGTCACAAGTCTGGCGACTCTTGACATTTCTCATGATGTTTTTTTTTTTTTTCCATGTAAATTGAATAGGTATGTCGAGATAATGCACCCCTGCCTCACTCCTTTTTTCTACCTCGAGCCAATCCGATTTGGCCGCGTTACCATCATTTAGTCCTACTGGGTTGGCTTGGGTGTGTGACCTGCAAACATTTTTTTAAAATCAGTTTAAGCCATTTGGTGAGAACCACGTAGAACATTACAGAGAAGATGAGGTAATGCAATATATATATATATATATATATATATATATATATATATATATATATATATATATATATATATATATATATATACTTATATATATATATATATATATATATATATATATATATATATATATAAGAACTGAGTATGCCAGCAAAAGTAAACCAGCAGAGAGCATAGTGACAAATACATTCTCAATGAGTTAACTTAACAGGGGATTAAATCAGCTGAAATCTCACCGAGTTCCTGGCCCCGGTAAGGTTACCTATGATATGTTACAGCACATATGACCAAGAGACACACAGAAATTGTTAAATAACTTTAATGCTAGCTGGATTTTTATCACAGTTCTTACAGACTTGAAAAAAAGGGGGGAAAGGGGGGGGGGTGGGGTTATTCGTAACCCTAAAGCAAAGAAAGCCGAAGAAGAACGCAGACAGCTGCAGACCTATCAGCCACAGACCGATCAGCTACAGACACATCAGCTACAGACACATCAGCTGCAGACCTATCAGCCACAGACCGATCAGCTACAGACACATCAGCTACAGACACATCAGTTACAGACCCATCAGCTACAGACCCATCAGCTACAGACCCATCAGCTACAGACACATCAGTTACAGACACATCAGCTACAGACCCATCAGCTACAGACCCATCAGCTACAGACACATTAGCTACAGACCCATCAGCTACAGACACATCAGCTACAGACCCATCACCTACAGACCCATCAGCTACAGACCCATCAGCTACAGACACATCAGCTACAGACACATCAGCTACAGACACATCAGCTACAGACACATCAGCTACAGACACATCAGCTTTAGGCACACCAGCTACAGACACATCAGCTACAGACACATCAGCTACAGACACATCAGCTACAGACCCATCAGCTACAGACCCATCAGTTACAGACACATCAGCTACACACACATCAGCTACAGACACATCAGCTACAGACACATCAGCTACAGACACATCAGCTACAGACACATCAGCTACAGACCCATCAGCTACAGACCCATCAGCTACAGACACATCAGCTACAGGCACATCAGCTACAGACACATCAGCTACAGACCCATCAGCTACAGACACATCAGCTACAGACACATCAGCTACAGACACATCAGCTACAGACACATCAGCTACAGACACATCAGCTACAGACACATCAGCTACAGGCACACCAGCTACAGACACATCAGCTACAGACACATCAGCTACAGACACATCAGCTACAGACCCATCAGCTACAGACCCATCAGTTACAGACACATCAGCTACACACACATCAGCTACAGACACATCAGCTACAGACACATCAGCTACAGACACATCAGCTACAGACACATCAACTACAGACCCATAAGCTACAGACCCATCAGCCACAGACACATCAGCTACAGACACATCAGCTACAGACACATCAGCTACAGACCCATCAGCCACAGACACATCAGCTACAGACACATCAGCTACAGACACATCAGCTACAGACACATCAGCTACAGACACATCACCTACAGACACATCAGCTACAGACACATCAGCTACAGACACATCAGCTACAGACCCATCAGCTACAGACACACACATCAGCTACAGACACATCAGCTACAGACACATCAGCTACAGACACATCAGATCACACCTGGAAATAATAGAAACTGGTAACGTCAATCTTCTCGGATCAGTTAATTTTTATTTTTCTCTTTTTCTCAGAGAAATGTCTCTTTTTTTTCTGCCTGTTTTTTCGTTATAATTGTTAGTCTAGCACTGAGTTTCAAGCCTGTTAGCCGCCCTCCCTTAACATAGACACCCCATTTTTGCAGCATAAGACAATCCCGACCAGCAAAGACAAGCATCTCATTCCAAGCATTTTCATTGTCACCGCATACTGTCAGTAGCCGCTCACAACAAACTGGAACAGGAAGTCTGTAACTAGGGAAAAGAGATGTCTGAGAACGGGTGTGGCAGTGACAACACAAGATACAATCAAGAAAAAGGATATAATAAAAAAGGTCGGCACAGAACCAGAGACAGCAAATCAAATGTTTTGCTCACTTGCATAGTGACGCAATAAAATACAAGGCATACACTATAGGAGGATAAAGAAGTAGAGCACAAGGTAGACCAAGAACAAGATGGAAAGATAACATCAGAGAAACTCTACAACAGCACAATGTGTATGTGGTCAAGGCGGTCAGAGGTGCAAGAAGCAGAAATTTGTATCATATTAGACACCTGAAGCGGTCAAAAGGAACTGAAGAAGAAGACGAAAACGATGATGATGATGAAGAAGAAGAAGAAAAAGAAGTAGAAGAAGAAGAAGAAGAAGAAGAAGAAGAAGAAGAAGAAGAAGAAGAAGAAGAAGAAGAAGAAGAAGAAGAAGAAGAAGAAGAAGAAGAAGAAAAAGAAGAAGAAGAAGAAGAAGAAGTAGAAGAAGAAGAAGAAGAAGAAGAAGAAGAAGAAGAAGAAGAAGAAGAAGAAGAAGAAGAAGAAGAAGAAGAAGAAGAAGAAGAAGAAGAAGAAGAAGAAGAAGAAGAAGAAGAAGAAGAAGAAGAAGAAGAAAAAGAAGAAGAGGACGAAGATAATGATGATAATGATGATGACGATGATGATAGATTTTACCGGACGCTTCGGTAAAGTAGTGACTTAACTAATTGCACAGAGAGAGAAAAAAAGTATTCAGAACTTCTGCATCAGATGGGTGCAAGTTAAGGCATCATTTACGAAAGGGAAAGAAAGGAAAGACACGGCCAACTACAGAACCATTTGATTACCTCATCTCATAAAAGTTCTCGTCTGGTTCGAATGGTTTCAACAATTTGTCACCGCTATATCAGCGGCTGTTACGTAAACGCCCCTGTCTGCCATCAACCAATGATCCTTTTCCAGGGCATCTCGCATTTTTAGCGTTATCAAATTCAATAGTCCGCAGAGCCCAAACATCTCACGTCGTGTAAAGCTATTGACATGTATACCTGCTCCTCATGGGGTCCAATTAAGAAAATCTTCAGAGCCGATCCTTTGGCAGCCTACAAGTCCGCTCAGGGTGAATTCCGACCCAACGGTCGTAAAAATTGATGGATGAGAGACTATGACTGGTTTTCATTTTATTATGTCCCTTATTTTTATTTTTCTAGAAACAGCCCTCAGATATTCTTGGTGCTTGCGTGTGTTGTAACTACCTCGTGGCGGAGAGAATCTGCTATGTGGCTGTTGGCAAAAGATCCCAGATCCATCCACGGATGGGCGCTTCGGAATATTCTCCCCTGCTGGGGCTCACAAGTAAATCCGGCTGGAGAATCCGAAATTAGCCAGGCATTGGATCCACACCGGGGTTTCCAAACTTACCGCGGTGAACTTTTATCCGGACGGCTCCGTAGTGTACCTTTCATGTCCTTTAACCTGTTTGAAATAACAGCGAAGCGTTTTTTACAAAACAAATGACAATAAAAGTTTCATAAATTAGGTTTCTGCTAGCAGGACCCGGCTTTCGACTGCTCTTACATAATTCATTTGATTGCTAACTGTCTTATGCCAGGTTGGCTGGTATAAAGGCTAAAGAAAGAATAAGTGAATTACCTTATATATGTTTGTATGAGAATATTTTGCTTTCTGTTCTGATTCTTAGCACCTGGTAATAGAATCTCTCTGTTCCCCCTTTTTTTTTTTTAAATATTATTTATTAAGTTCTGTTTCGTCTACCTCAATTTCTTGCATTCATAACGAAAGGCGACTTTTGGAAGATGCCGCAAACTGCTCCAAAAGGGATTGAATTACTTTTCATAGAGTGCAGTAAAAGAATTATTTTGTTGCAACGTTTGCTGTAATTCTTCTTCTTCTTCTTCTTCTTCTTCTTTTCTTCTTCTTCTTCTTTTACTTTTCAGGATTTCTCAGTATGTCTTGTATCCAACACAGGCGTCCAATCCTGTCTTTATTATTCATTCCTGTGTGCTTAGCTCTGTCCCAAAGCTCTATATCAGTGATTATGTCTAGCCAAATGTGAGCATCAATTTCTGTTGCAGCTGAGCAGAATACTAACACTGAAGGAACGAGGTATTGATCAGTCAAGGTTTAATCAGTCTCATGACTTCAGTCAAGATGTATTCAATAACATGTCTTCAGTCAAGATGTATTCAATAACGTGTCTTCAGTCAGGATGTATTAAATTTTATGTCTTCAGTCAAGATTTATTCAATAACATGCTTCAGTCAAGAGGTATCCAATGACATGTCTTCAGTCAAGAGGTATCCAATGACATGTCTTCAGTCAAGAGGTATCCAATGACATGTCTTCAGTCAAGATTTATCAGGTCACATGACTTCAGACTTGATGTCTATAGACAAATATCTTCAAGTACGACATCTACAGACATCTACATTCAAATACAAATTTTCGGTCACTTGAGTCAATCAACATGTTAAAGACACATGACTTCATCCATTTGAGTCAATCAATATGTTACAGATACATGACTTCATCTATGTGAGTCAATCAACATGTTACACATGACATCATCCATCTGAGTCAATCAACATGTTACTGAAACATGATTGTATCCATCCGAGTCAATCAACATGTTACAGACACATGATGTTATCCATCCGAGTCAATCAACATGTTACAGACACATGACTTCATCTATCCGAGTCAATCAACATGTTACAGACACGTGACTTCATCTATCCGAGTCAATCAAAATGTTACAGACACGTGACTTCATCTATCCGAGTCAATCAACATGTTACAGACACATGATTTTATCCATCCGAGTCAATCAATATGTTACAGACACATGATTTCATCAATCCGAGTCAATCAACATGTTACAGACACGTGACTTCATCCATCCGAGTCAGTCAACATGTTACAGACACATGACTTCATCCATCTGAGTCAATCAACATGTTACAGACACATGATTTCATCAATCCGAGTCAATCAACATGTTACAGACACATGACTTCATCCATCCGAGTCGATCAACATGTTACAGACACATGACTTCATCCATCTGAGTCAATCAACATGACTTTAAAAATTTTTCTTTGGACATTACGGAATTCACATGTGACGTATCGGCTAGACGTTCGTTTGGTGGCAGCCGCAGTGACGTATCGGCTAGACGTTCGTTTGGTGGCAGCTGCAGTGACGTATAGACTAGACGTTCGTATGCTGGCAGCCGCAGTGACGTATCGGCTAGACGTTCGTTTGGTGGCAGTTGCAGTGACGTATTGGCTAGACGTTCGTATGCTGGCAGCCGCAGTGACGTATCGATTATACGTTCGTATGTTGGCAGCCGCAGTGACGTATCGATTAGACGTTCGTATGTTGGCAGCCTCTGTGACATATCGACTAGACGTTTGTGTGTTGGCAGTCGCAGTGACGTATCGGCTAGACGCTTGTATGTTGGCAGCCGCAGTGACGTATCGGCTAGAGCTCGCATGCGGACCCGAAGGTTCAGGTTCTGAAGCAGCTGGACGTTTTAAAGAAATGACCTTGGCTCCCAGGTCAACCCAGCCTTAAAGGGGCACCAGGTCAATGTCCACATCAGCCACCGAGAGCCGACTGGTCTGTAAAATATGTCTAGCCCTATATGCCCAATATCCCTGAAGGCGAGGACAAGGGTCATTTACTCATTTACATATCCCCTGAAATAGGCTTTCAACTGAACTTCAGTATATTTACACTTATTCCTGTTGTCCACCCGGACTGATACACGAAAGTACGATGCCTGAGATTACAGAATCGAAATCTGGATTCCAGCCTTACAGGACCAAACACAGATACTTGGGCACTGGAAACGACTTGTACAAAACGTTAGTCACATGGCCTTCACAGGACGTTACAGAACCAGCGCAGCACGTTTTGGCAGTTTCTAGGCAAATTTACGTTCACTACACGGTCTGCTCTCGATATCATCGTCAATACCAACGCAAGGCGGTCTGCTGTCAAATCGTCTGCCGCTGGGATGGAACCTGACACTACAGCATTGTGAAGCGTGTTCGCAGCGCCAGAGCCACAGACTAATATTTTCCAGCAGCCTAACATGACTGCAGCCATGTTCTGCAAAAAAAAAAAAAAAAAAATCTATTTACAAATACTTGGACGTCAATCAATATAACTCTATAAGCTATCAAAATCAGCGTACATGCACCTAGAATTCTAAACAACGACTGCCTGAAGTATCTGCACAGACCGCACGAAATCTATTGCCTTGCCATCAGGAAACGTGTCCTCGGAGCTTCTGCTAATTGTGTGGAAAAAACCAGTTATTCTTAATGCGAGACTTTTCCACCCGACACAAGAAACACCAGTAATGATGGGGTGGGGAAGCTGAGAAAAAAGGTGCCTATTGAAGTC